ATCTTAACTCGGGAAAGGGACAACCGGACTCTTGAAGTGCTTAAGAGAAATATTCTGCGAAAGATTTATTGGCCGCCTGTGGATATTCTATACGGATTTGCAACGAAACCAGGAATTTTAGCCAGATTTAGTTCAAAACACAAATGGCTAAGTTCATAATGCCACATCGCCTGAAGGGGACGAAATGCCCCTCCGTTTTTGAATGAATAAGACAGGCAAATGGACTTCTAGTGAAGAGCTGGATAGTGGTGTAAAGCCTTTTGAAGAGAAATCACTCGTCAGGTACAGTTGATGACGCTGAATTAGATGTAGCTTGGTTTTGAAGTATCATTGTTTTTGTTATAGGAACAGAAGCACTTAAACGACTGCGAGATTCTATCAGAGTGGTGTTTAAGAGGAAGAGGTAAAAGTAGCTCGACACTTTTTCTTTGACTGCCCAGCTTTCGCTAAGACTTGGTTGTGATCAAATTTAGCCACCTTATCACCTTTGTATAGACTCAAAGGACTTCGCCGCTAACTAAAAGTCTATTGGAACATACCTATATTGGCGTCCCTATATACTTGTATGTACCTTTGCGCGTGGATGCGTCTAGTTATCGTACATTTTAAAAGCTTGAATGATACCATTTTGATGGGCGTGGCAATATTCCAGACTTGTTTTAGGTCTACACGCATCTAATAAAACAAATAGCATACAAACAGGCGCCAAGTCATTGCGCTTAATTAGAATTTCTACTAATTTCTACAGGTAGAGTTTAAGTGGAATATTAGTGGAACCAGTTATGAAAATGTGGCTAAATGTGTGTGAATAAATAAACAGGAATACATGAATGTATAATATATACTTAATGTAAATATGTTAATGTATGTGTGTGTGTGTGTTGTGATGACAATCACAAGTCGAGTGTAAAATGTAAATGACAACAAAATTTTACCACACTGACACATAAATATAGTGGCATAAATACATTATATGCAAATATGTGTGTATAAACACAAATATAAATAGATGTACATGTGTATGTGTGTGCACACGATATTTAAGGCATTTATGTTACATATGTATGAGTGAACATGTGTTTAGTTGAATTCTATTCACTACATGCTACAGATACACACACACTCATTTATACAATTTGAATAAACAAAAAGTAGCAAGCTTGTGCGCCTAAAATTATGCTAACTCGCCCTAAAATATGCAAACATACGACGATAAACACTCGGCACACTTCGACAGCAAGCGAGAGAATGTTTCTACATAAACAGACACAGGTATAAATAATTTCGAATTATTGTCAGCATGTTTAGTAGCTTGTGCTTGCAATATATGATTTGTAAACGAAATTTAATATTAATTAATGCAATGCAGTACAGTTAGGAAATTGCAACAAAACCAAAAACATTTTTAGTAGTTTTGTTGCACGTGCGCCTGTACACATAACTTTACATGGAAAATTCGATATGCATAAATAAGTAAGGACTAACTTCGAGGGGAGCCGAATATAAGATACTCTCGCAAATTGTAAGAATATGGATCCTCTGAAATATAGCTAAATTTTTGGACTCTTTTTATAAGAAAACCTACTCAAAGCAGCTTTATTAGCGATTTATGAACCGTTTCCAGCTTCACAACATCTTGAGGATACGGTGGATAGTGCAGCAGGCCGTAGCTTAATTTCGCGTTGAGTCGGTTCAATAAATTGACTTAATGGAGCTCTCTGACCGTTTTGCCCTCTTTTCAAGTAAGCGATGTAGATCACAACTTGTGAATCACAAAAAATGGTGTTTATCAACTTTCGGGTCGATAGGCTAGGCTTCGTGGTCTTCGGAGCAGTTTCGTCGATTGAAACCTACTGCTTCGCCTATTCCTTGGCCTCTGGTTTGTACTAATTTATCTATGCTTTGTCACAAAACAACGCAGAAACTGCTTCATATCGCGCTTATACACCACGTCCAATCACTGCTGTGAAGTGGTCTCAAGTGATGAGTCTAAATACTTTTCGGACCGCCCTCGTATACGAGTTATAATAATTTAATAATATTGGATGGTTATTCTGAACAAATTTCTTTTGCATCTGAAAGGTTTGCCTCCAGATCGTTGTTCCTTCACCAAAAGTATTTTAGGAAGTAGCTGTAAGTTAAGCACAGTTTCAATTTTCTCACTGGACATTGGACTGGAATTTCAGAACGAGAGACAGAGAAGAAAGTAGAGATATGTGTATAGCCTTTCCAATAGAGTTTCTAATCAAAGGTAATATGAATCGTTTTAGTATCACAGAAATACTTCACGAAAGACGTTCACTTTTCGACCAAAATAAGGGAAAAGTTTCCTGCTTCCTCCGTTTTTATTTCATATACAAATATTCCAAGCACATTTTTTGGACAAACTCGATTCTAAATGGCTAAATTCCATAACCACACGCCTAAAAATGCGAGAACAGGTAAAACTTTTCTTAATTACATACTCTTTCTTTCTGATTAGGAAACTAAACCTGCTGAGATTCAGTTCAAGACAAGCTTAGAATATGTTTAAATCATCACAAAGTGTCTTTAGCGCTACAAACACTTTGGACATTTCATTATCTGATCTCATTTTTTATCAATTGCAGTTTGAAGATATGTTTCAGAGACTGCCAGTCTGAAGTAACTTTCGTTTCCCATAACCAAATCTAACCTCACTTCGGCAATGAAAGAAAGCCATTTAACCAGCGCCTACTATCACATCGCCAAAAGACTCTAGAGAAATATTTGAGCAAGACTTTCTTAGAGCCTCTTTCATTTCTCGTTAATACCAAACCTTAACTCATTGACGCCAAATTGAACTAATTTCATTCCATCGATGAAAGCTCACCAATCAACAGCATCATTTCGAGTCCAACAAATATTCGCACAACTATTGGGGAAATTAGAAAATGTCCGGCATTTACTAGCAAACTAAATTACAATACCTACAAGTAGCAAACAGCATACATAGGAGCGACTGTGTTTTGTTCGGATTATACAAGAAATTGATAATTATTAGGTTGATTGGACAGCTGTGAAGCTGCAACAATTGCTTTTGTATTCTCTCCCCCTCACAGGGCGCTATGTGAACCACTGTGCTTATGCAACAACAAGTTGTTTATTTGGTTTACCTCTCATATTCGTGGACCATTGTTATTTGTGTCACTTCGAAAGCCTCGAAGCATACCAGCACACCGGTCGCTTGCCATTCGGCATACCATGTACGTTGTGTTAATTGATTTTCCTCTGAAATGCTTGCACTTTTGCTGCAGCTGAGGATAACCACTTTCTGGCTTCGATTGTCGCCCGAGTGTTTGGATTGTCGGTACCGTTGGATGCCCAAAGCTTAAGTCTCAGGTTTACATAAATGCATGTGTGTGTGTGTGTGTGTAAAGGCGTGGTAATGTGGGAAATTATTATTCTTGCCGATTAAATTAAGCTGATTTGAGCATTGCGAAGTGAGATAGAATTTTCTCACTCGCATGCATTTACTGTTGTAACTATATAGCTTGCGGTTTTAGGCCAAAGATGAATCAGTTTCAGCTTCGTTATAGCAAGTATCAAACAATTAACGTGTTATGGAATGATCGTTGAGCTCAAATGAACTCAATTATGATAACTTCGACGAATATCAATAAAAAAAAACGCTTCAAAATTGCTGAAGAAACAAAGCCAAACCAAACCCGATAAAGGCTTCCAAATGTCATAGTTCTTTCTTCAACTTCCTGTTAGAAGAGATAATATCTGAAGAGAAAAACATTTTTGCATTCTTGGATGACGTCGCTGGAGAGATAAAAGCTCAGCATAGGGTTTCAAGGCGAATATATGAAGTAACAGACTAAAGAGCTCTGCGAAATCTATGAGCAGAGAATATGAAAATTCCTGGTTGTTGCAAAAACAAAGGAAAGAATCAACCCTCAGTGAAAACCGTGTGGACTACTTTGGCATGGTATAAATGGGTCGGAATTTTGAAAAGCGTCGTGGTAGAATACATAAACAGGCAAAAATCAATTAAAAACGACATATTTACATGAATGGACAGAGGTTGAGGTTACGTAGACCCGACTGTCTTGGGTACAGCTGACACCTCAGGTCTTTCCCTAAGGGCCGACACTGTCAAAACAGCTCGTTCCTTGGACCCAGCGTTAAGTCACTTCGATTACAGTGCCCCCAAAAAAGGTCTAAATGTTTTCTACAACAAAAGTGAGATAGCCTTTTGTAACCGGAATATGCCTTAATAACCGCGATTTAGATTCGGTCAAGGAGTCTCATTTCGACAGCTTTCCCCATGCTAAGATTTGCTCTGAAATCAAACACCCAAGCGGAGACGATCTCTTTAATCTGAAATCGCATTTAGAATCATTGCCATATTGCAAAGCGACGAAACGACTGGAACGTTAAAGTGAATTGGGTCAAAATAGTTTAGGGCGTTATAGCGCCAATCAGCGATCTTAGTGTCGTTGCCAAATTTTTCACTGAAAGCAACTTATAAGACATGGCGTTCCCAACCCTTGCACAACTTCGTTATGGATACAGTAGCAGGTTAAACTCCTACTTATCCAGAATCGGCCCGACATACCCAATATATGTATGTCCTGCATGCAATGAGTCTCCACATGACACTAACCAACTCTTTGCATGCCAAACGAATCCCACTTATCTAACACCCATTTCCCTATGGTCCGACACCGTCGAAACAGCTCGTTTCCTGAGCCTCCCGTTAGATGACCTCGACGACAATTGAACTATAGCTTACCACGCAAGCGGGGAGTAGATAACTCTTACAACAACAAAACAACAGCTTTTACTGTTGTTCGAGAATTATTTTGATTTAACGGGCTAACGCGAACTTCTCGAAATCGGACGGTATATAAATAATGCACCTCAAAATGTCTGTTTTAAATGAACTGATCGAAACGCTTAATCCGAGAGTATATCTAACCTCAATTTATACATATTTTAAACAAATATTGTTAACTACTTTGAGATAATTACTTTTTTCTTTTTTTATGCTTTTTACGTTAAAGTAAAAAATTTATTTATTTTGAAACGAAGTTTACAAAAGCTACAAGCTACTCTCAAATCGTCAATTTTTTACGTACATATGTACGTGTGCATACATATATAAATTTCAAGTTAGTATTATTGCGTAAAAGAACTGCATTTAAAATAACGGAATATTTAGAAAGAAAATAAAGCAAACATCTTAATAAACGTCAGCAGAATTACAAAGAATTAAATATATTTTTCAAATTTTCAACTAAAAAATCAAATAAAATGTCACGATTAAGCTACGCTGCGAGAATATGGATTCAAACGCATCGACTGCCGAACACCTTAACAACGCTGATGCGAGTAATTTCCACCACGGCGCCAAACCCGCACTTCAGCAACCACGAAATGCCGTTAGCCACCGAAGCGCTACACGTTTTAGCGAAATCCGAGGCGATGGTGGATAGCAGTGCACCCAGCAAAAGCAACAATAATAACGACTTGAACGATGTTGCGCCAGTAGACGAGGCGAAACCGACTTCAATCAAAGAAAATAAGCTACCCGAAATGACAATTGTGGATATAAATAGTGGCTATATGGACTTCGAAGATCGCATGGCACATATGGATTTGGAAGAACGTATTAACGAAGCTAAACAAAACAATAATCCAGTGCTGCCTTTGGTGCGAACAATGCCGACGGTTGTCAATATCGATGGCTACGGCGACGATATGATGTACGAAGACAGGCCTGAATTGATATTGCCGCAGAAAATGTCCGCAAAACTAGCTGAAGATACAGCAGCTGCAAAGCCAGTTGGCGATGATGCTGTAAATGTGGTGCCAATGGCGGCTGAAGCAGCGGTAGCTGCGAAAATGGCCACACAGCAGAAAATAATAGACGCTGAGGAAGCAATTAAAGCAATTGCTGTGGATAACTCAACCAGCGAGCAGAAGTTTGTGGCAGCTAGTTCAACTATGACAAAAAATTCCATCGACGATGTGGAAGTAATTTGCGAGGCACCAGTCGACATAGACGCCTTCGCCAATGAGCAGGAGCAAAAGCAGGGCACTGTCGACATCGACACCTACGGCGAAGATGAGCGCTTCAAATTGCCACCGATACCGAAGGAGCGTAACAACGTCTTCGAATTTAAAGGCATCAAGATCATAATGCCCAAGCGCATGCTGCGCGATTCTACTTATCGTTATCGCTTGGATCCAAACGATAAGGACAAAGCGGACGATATGCAAATTTGCGTTTATGAGAAGTAAATCAATGCAACAACACATGCTGTGGAGGATATTTTATGCAAGAGCCTTTCTTTTTTTTGTTTTTAAAATTTTTATGTCATTTTGTTAATACCATGTCGTTGGTAATGTATTTTTAATAAACTTAACTGTTTAATAAACTTAACAAAGCTATATACTTATTATTAATAAACTTATTACTACAAAAAAACACCATGCTACTAGAATATATACTACGTCGTATGTAGTATTAGGTACGTCGCTTCTTTGACAACTGTGCGCTACTTCCTACCTTTTTACGTTTGTCCTTTCCACTTTCGTCGGTTTGACTTTTGCCCTCTTTCACTTCACGATTTATTTTGTAAGCCGCTGTCATGCGTTTGATATTCTCCTTGTGCACTGTTTCATGATTTACAATACGATGTGGATAATCTTTGCCCAGTACACAACCATATTCGCGTTGCGCGCTCAAAGTTGCCTTCCAAGGTTCATATATACAACCTGCTGGGTACTTGGCTAGTTCAGGTACATATTTTCTTATGTAAGCGCCAGTTGGATCAGTTTTCTTGCCGAAAGCAACGGGACTGTAGACACGAAAATATTGATAAAAGAATGCTGAGGCTGAGAGCCACATCCAATTGCCAGCATTCAATGCCCAATCCTGATCGAGCAGTAATTCTTCGAATACTTTTTGGCCCTCCTCCCAGGAGATCCATAAATCACCACGTGTTAGAAAGCAAGCAACAGCATGACGCGCTAAATGATGTATCCAACCCTCCTGGCGTAATTGACGCATTATGGCGTCTATAAATGGATAACCCGTACGTCCATTCGTCCAAGCTGATAAATGTACCTCGTTGATTTCCCATGGTATTTGCATGCAAAATTTATTACCTAACATACGATCGAAATTCGGCTCTGACGCAGCGGCTGTGTAGTAAAATTCGCGCCACAGCAATTGTCCCAGCAATGATACGGGTGGTTTGGAATATTTGTTTTGACGCTTAAGTATCTGTATTAAACGCTGATGAAACAAACGCGCGCTGAGGCAACCAAATTTTAGGTAGGGACTAAGCACAGTTGTGCTAGGTTCAAGCGAATTCGGTGAGGTATTTGGTTTCTCAAAAGCAGCAACCCATGATTCGTTGCTCAGCGAAGCATCCAAACGGCGTAAACCTTCACTCTCGCCTGCAATTAAAAGTTAATGCAAATTAGCAAAGACTTTCAAGCCCTGCAAGTACTTACCGCCTATAAATTTATTTTCTCCCAACTCATCGGGTCGCTTAACAAGTTCATCTAATGTCGGATATGCATAGCAATTCGTGTTTTGTTGCTCCATGGTATCCTTTGGTGGCTTTTGTTCATCTACCAATCGCTCGGGATTCGACACCGGTAATGGCACACTGAATTTTTCGATAATGCTTAAAAATTTTTGATATGTTAGTGGCGCATTGCCACAATTTTTTTGTATTACTAAATCTGGATTATATATGGTATGCGAGCAAAATGTATCCACATTTACTTCTGCTGCCTTAGCCAAACGTTGAATCTCTGCATCACGCTTCAATGCATATGGTTCAATATCCGTTTCAAAGGTTAGTAAACTCACACGCCACTCCTTAAAGATGCGTGGAAAAACTGTAGCTGGTGTACCGCGTATCACATATAATTGTGTATTTAGTTTTCGTAAATTTGCATCCAAGTCTGCTAGTGTTTGTTGCAGAAAACGCCAACGGTTCGCGCCAACTCGCAGCCATTCCAACAACGCAGTATCGAGTATAAAAATCGGTCGCACATAATATTTGGTGGGTTGACTTACTGCTTTGGAGAAAACAAGCGCTAATGCAGGGTTATCGTGTACACGTAGTCCTTTGCGAAACCAATGTACCAATGTAGTTTTGGACTCCATGGCTAATTGCCCGAATTAAATTCAAATTTAAAAATTTTACGCGAAAAAAATGCACTTAACTTAGTCAAATGACGGAACAAATAAACAGCTGTTCTTATAAATTGCATTTATGTTCCAATTGGAAATGTACTTGAAATTTGGCTACACTTTTCATTACATTCCGCAGAGAACGTAAATACGGATATACGTTCTCTGCACCGGGTTTGTTTTTTAATGAAAACGCCTAGGTGAAGTAATCTAAATTCAGAGAATGTAAAATCTAAATCTACATTCTCTGTTATTATTATATTTTACATTATCTGTCTGAACCAACCCTCTAAACTGAAAAAAAACAACACTGTTTGTATTTACTGGCGTTTGCTTTAGCAGCTCATTCGTGACTTCCAATCAGCAGAAAACGTACAATTTACGTTCTCTGTTATACGTTCTCTGCAATCAGCTTGGTGGAATTTGACGGTTGCCTTCCGATTTGACAGTTCTGTATTTTTTACGTTTTCTTATTTGTTTGCAAATTAATTTTCGTTGAACGGCTTCCAGTTGGTTCTTGTACAGGTTCTTGTTCCCGCAGCTCATATTTCAATCGAAAAATTACAGTTTACACCGTTTAGCAGTAGATTTTAAGCAGAGATAACACTAAAAATCTTGAGCAGCAAGTTTTATGTGAGAGAAAAGTGCCTAAAATTCGCTTTTTAAATGTTTTTATTAGTGAATATATCAGCGGGTGCAAAAGTGTAGTGAAAGCGGTGAGCGTGTGTGCCAAGCGTACTGGAAAACAAGAAAAAAAGTAACGCGGGAGCAAGGCGGTAAAATATGTGTTTTTAAAGAAATAGAAGGAATTACAAAACTAAAATATATAATTTGCAAAGTGTGTATTATGTGCGAACGCATAAAATATGCGTATCAACTTGCAACTAGCTTATTTGGGCCTGCTATCGGTGACGTGTATTTCGAGGTGAGCATGCAAATACATACATGCACACATATTTAAAATTATATTCAAATATGTTTTGTAAAATATTTACTTGTCTGATTTACTAATGAAATAAATTAAATATTTTTCTTTCCAGTGGTTTTCTTTTCTTTGTATTTCTCACAGAGAATGCTAAATTTGTAGCTGCATGTAGTGATGAATCGACAACGTTTTCTGATGAAGCTGGCGCAGCTGCTAAGCACAAAGCAGCTGCTGCACCGCCTGCAATAGTGGCACATGCAGAAATTGTACCGATAAATGAAGAAGAGAAAAAATTAACAAATAATGAGGGTGAACATCTTCAGACGCCGCAAACAGCTGCTCCAGCTGTTGCCAATACGCTGAACAATATTGTCGACGATATCACAACAGAGCCAGTAACAGAGTCGGTTGAAGACTGGCTGTTGCCAAGTAGTGTTGTGTATAGTGCGAGTATTAGTGATAGAAATGATATAATACGTGAAAAAAGTGGTATAGTTATAAATGAAGCCGCGGAACCAGCGCAACAAAACGAAAATGAGGAAATGATCGCTGTTGCAGTAGAAGCACCTGCCTTGCTCGATGATGACTTGCAAAATGTGCAAGCAGAGCGTGCGAGCGGTCAGGAAAGGTAAAAACTGTTATAATCTATTTCTATTTGTGGTCTCTCACTGTTGCTTAAAATTTCTTTATCATTAATTAAACACCACGTTAAAACCTTAGTTCCGATTTCCGATTTGCATTTAATTTCTGATTACTGATAAAATGCGCTCAGAAGTGTTCTTTTATTGTGAAAAACCAATGTTATGTTATCCATAATTTTTTTTTTCAAATCCGCGAGTTGTAACGAAATAGGGCTAATATAATAGACTGTTAACGTGCGTTAAACGTTTTAAATAGCCATTAATGATACATGTTAAATAATACTTAAGTGGTTGCGTTTGAAATTGATCTGAATACTTGTTTACATTCCTTATTAATAACTTTGTTGTGGTTGCGTCGTGACTGCCTTACTGACGCACATTGTTTATGTAAAACTACTTCCCTCAATAAATGAATATAATTTTTCGTCCAATAATACGGTTTTATGTTTGAATGTAAATGCTTGTAAGTGCGTGCTATAATATTAATTTCACATTAAGCTCTCTTATCAAGCTTATAAAATTAATCCCATAATTTATATTTAGAACACTCGCGACGCGTATCAAATCATTGAGGAAACTCAATTTATATGCTTTGCAAAAAAACTAAATATGAATGTTGTATGGTTAAGTGGTAAAGTCCACTTCAAAAGTGCATTATTTTTTGCACAAAACGACTGTCTGGCTTGCGGCATCTTTATAGTATTGAAGTACAATTTGTAGGTAAACACATATGTACTTATACATATATTTGCACGCTCCGCAATTATCGACAATTTCTTAATGCGGAATTTCGTTCAAAATATGCAAATCAAAAAACAAAAATAAATATAGGTGAAAAGTTAAATATGAAATGCGAAAAATTACCATTAACAAACAGGGGTGAAAACTAAGAGACGTGCAATAAGGAAAATACTATAAATACTTATTTCTGCTGTTGTTATTGTATGACAGAAAATCCTCAATATTTATAGATTGCCACAATTCATTGGCGACTGTTGAAATTTTGGCGAATATTTTAAATTTCTGTCTGTCAAATATCGCCAAAATGAGGTAGCTTTATAAACTATTATTTTTCATGGCTTTAAAGTAAATTAATAATATTTTCCTCAATTTCGTTTGTATGCCCCTAGTTAATGGTAATCAAAGAAAACTGAAAAATGCTTGTATACATTTATGGTATTAATATCCTAATTGCCTTAGCAATGAAAATTTATTAATAATACAATTTTATACGAAACAGCAAGTTGTTGTAGATTCATACTGGTTTAATAGTAAACTGAAAAGCCACTTAAATGTACATATGTATATAGAAATTATATAAATACAAGTAGTGATGGATTTGTAATTCCAGTGAATAATGTCATAATAACTCCGGCCGCAATTCCCAAGTTTAAAATTTGCTTTAACCCAGCAACAGTAAATGTCTAATGACGTGTTTAAATAAATTACAGTGAAAATTCTTTGTGTTATCAGACAATCAGTCATTTTAGATTGCCAGCAGTAAAACAACATTATAATAAAAATGTGTAGTTAACTAAACAGATACATATTTATGTACACACGTAAATTGTTTAGACTGAAATTGAAGCTACCTCAGCAACACAATGTATCTTTCTCACAGTCAGCATTAATTTTGAATGTTTTGATTATATTTATGTACATGTGTGCATAAATAATTTAATA